CTTCAGCAGTCAGACGCTCCTCTTCATGGCTCCTGTTCCTGAGGACACAGAGGACAGAGCAGCTCAGCGCATGTGTCCACAGGACGATGTGTCTGTCTGCAGACGGTGACAGGGAGAGGGGCGGAGCAGCTGAAGGTGAACGGACACCTCCACCCCAACAAGCTTAACACAACCAACCATATCAGTATAAACAACGCTGTCTCATCCTGTAACCTCACATTAAAATATGTTTTAGAAACTGGATGAAAGAGAAGGAGGGAGGGAGAGGACTTGAGGATGTAATACAATGTCTTAAAGACACAAAGAGCTGGATGACACCCAGCTCTGTCTGTCCATGAAGCCAGAGGACACACACCAATGAGTTAAACTGCAGGAATGTCTTAAAGACATAAAGTCCAGTGTTTAACCACTGAGAGCTGAGCTCAGCTGAGGTTTCAAAGCTGTGATATCAGCCGCTGATAAAGTGCTGTGTACTTTTCTGTTTCCAGCCGTCATCTGTAACCCAGGTCAGCCACTCTGAGGGAAACACAAGCTGCAGCAGCTCTGAGCTCAGGAAGCTATATTTACTTATCTCGTGCACAACATTGTGCCGTCATTGCTGCAGCTGCCACCTGTTACCTGTGACCATCACCAGGTAACGTGGGCGTGTTTGCTGAATCAGCAGCAGGTGTCAAACAGCTGACAGGTGAGCAGCATGTATGCAGGTAGACTGAGGGCCTGTCGAGCTGATCGCTGGTGTCCTGAGGAAAATGTTTATGTTAGAGAAACACAAGGACACGAGAGCAGGTGGAACGAGACGACCGTTCGGTGAAAATGATGCAGATGCAACATCTGGAGCACACAAATCTAACCGGTTAATGTGAAAACCAGTTAAACTGGAACCCTGGAGCTGTGAGCTCGGTGCACTCTGGTTCTGTGGCAGCTGTATGTGTCAAAGCCAAACACATTTTATTTTGAAAGGTAAAACTGAAACTGACCAGCATCACTCAAACACACACATGTTTGGACCATTACTGACCGAGGTGACGCACTAAGTTCATTTACTTAGGCTCAGAAGGTTAGTACAGTAATCAGATTACACCTGCTCACATCAGGTGAGTGAGAGCTACCTTTGAGTTTCCAGCAGAGGAACAAAACCAAACCCAGAACCAGGAGAAGCCCAGAACCCAGACCTGCTACGACTGGGACCACGAGAGAGGGAGGAGGAGGACAGGTGGATGCTGGGAGAGGAGGGGAGGGAGGACACGTAAGAGGAGGAGCAAAGTTTGTGGAGGTGCTTGGAGGAGGAGGGTGGATGATTTTGGGAGGATCTGGAGGAGAGAAGAGTCAGTTTATTATCAGGTCACAATGTTACATCATTTTTTAAACAGGAAGTGATGTCAGTGTTCTGACCTCTGACCCTCAGAGAGCTCTGAGGAGACTTTCCACCCTGATCAGTAGAACAGTAGAGACCTTCATCAGCCTGCGTGATGTTAGTGATGATTTATTTATTTTATTTATTTATTTATTGTCATTGTCAGAGAACAATGAAATTACGTTTGGGGCTTCCATACAACCCGTAAATAAAATAATGAAGAAAATAATAAATACCCCTTAAAGCCCAAGTGTAAGTATTTAACCCAGTGTGACTCCAGTACAACAAGACAATCCTTAAACCAGTTCAATGCTATTAAGAAATTGAATATGGTTATTGTCCATGAGAGGGGGGTAGAGAATTCAGGAGCCTCACAGCCTGTGGATATGATGTGCTCTGGTTTAGGACCAACAGAACTTCCTTTAATGTAGAAATAAGCTCTGACCGTGTCACCATTCCTCTGTCTGCAGCGCAGAATGACATCACTTCCTGTCCTCACAGGAAGTGCAGGGATCTCCAGGATGACATCTTTACCTGACCATCAGAGACAAACAGAGTTAATGAGAGCAGAGTCACACAGAGACAGAGACACAGCTGGAACATCTCACCTTTAGTGTCTGATTGGACACTGAGGGAGACGTTGTCACTCTGCTGTCCAGAGGAGTCCTCACACCAGAAGGTTTCACTGGGAGCAGCCTCCCAAAGCCTGCACAGTCCTCAGTGGGTCCTCCTCTGCTCCTCTTCACTGTCCATCCTTCAGCTGTCTGTCCATCATCAACACAACTCAGATCCACTAAAGATCCTCTGAAGACCTGCTGAAGACCTGCTGAAGACCTGCTGAAGGTTTGGACTGACAGACAGAGACACTGGAGGACACACAGAGATGATGAAATCATAACTATGTGTTGATTAAAGTCTAATATAAGCACAGTGCTGGTGTGCAGGGCTGTTAAATGCTGCTGACATGTTATACACTGTTATGTCTACATCAAGCTTTTAGCCTCATAATAAACAGATATTTGTGTTTGTCCTCAACATTCAGATCTTAGAGATGATTTGATGTGTGCATCAGCAGCATCACTAATGGAAGCACTTTAAAGAGGAAAAATCTCCCTTATCTCAGCTGTGATCTTTGGCTTTCAGAGGAACAAAGTGTGTTTTCTGTAAAGCTCAGATGGAACTTGGAGGACTAACATGCAAACTGAGGCTGTGTTCAGGACTCTGTCACACTGGTGATGAAGAGCAGCACCAGCAGAGTGTGCACACACAACGCTCTGTGCTAATCACACATTCATTTCAAGAGTTTTCATTTACAAATGTTTGAGGAAATGGTTCATCAGCTCTGACTGTAGAGAAATGTTAGAATATGAAGGAGCTTATTTATTGTAACTCAAGCTCTTCAAGTCCAATGAATCACCTGAACAAAGGTAAGTGTTGAACTGTCTCACACACACACACACACACACACACACACACACGCACGCGCGCACGCACACACACGCGCGCGCACACACACACACACGCACACACACACACACAGAGACACAGTAAGTGTATTTGTGTTCTTGTTGGAGTTTCACTGATTGTTTTCACTTCCACCTCCTCACCTGCAGAAACAGTCGGTGCAGACAGCAGCAGCACACACACACCTGCAACAGGAGGTCAGAGGTCACTGAAGGTCAGAGGCTCCTCCACCACCTTGTGTACCTGCACAGGTGAGGAGCTTCTTTCTCTGTGTGACCAAACAGTCGTCTGTAACTGCAGTCATTACAAAACTTAATGACAGTTAGAACCGTTAGGAGGGAGCAGAGTGTGAGCAGAGATAAGGAAATGCTGCAGGCGTTGTGATACTGTATCACAACGCCTGAGAGGAGTCTCAGAGGAGAACTGTAGCTCAGAATTACAGTTTTTTACAGACGCTAGGACACATTTCTCAATACTTAGGCCACTTTTGCAAAACTCTTCACACAATCCTCCTAACTGACCGTCAGCTTGGCAAAGCAGTTCATTTCACATTCAAAATGCACTACAACTACCAAAACACTTCATTCAGGTCTCAAATAAACTCATTCTTCCAGAACACTAGCAAAGGTTGACAGCCGACAAACACACTTTGTCACCCACAAAACAATGACCTAAAAAACACTAACAACATGTAGCATTACACAGTGTTTCCTTGTGTAAAACAAGGACACATCTCTGTTTATAATTTCAATATATGTTACTGGAATGAATCAGACATCATGCAGAATTCATTAATATTTGTTTATGTATTTTTATGTTTTTGCACTAAGTAATCCCAAAATACAAGAATTTGTATACACACCATCCACTGATACACATACAATAGTAATGCTAATCTACTCGGTCTTCTCCATTTGGCCACAGGTTCTCATCCACATCACATCTTATGTCATCTAGGGCAACACACCTAGGAAAGAATCTTCTGGCTGCCAGAATTGAAGGAGTTGAACAATTGAAGGAGTAACACCTGTGTAGATGTTCATCTACAATGAGAATCAGCTGTGGCTGGTTAAACTGCATTTTTAGATTTAAAATATGTTTCAATAAAATATTGCTGTTGGATTTTGCTGTCTTTTTAAGTTTTGCATTGTGTTATTGTTTTGGCCATAAGTTTAACAGTTTTGAAAACAGTATGTAAGCACATGCAAAATGTCCTGTACATACAAAGATTTTTGGCAGTTGTTGTGTCTGAGTGAGAAGATAATTCATGAAATTTGAGAGATGTAGTCATTGAATGCATTTTGTGCCAAAACAATGATAACTGGTCCTCAGTTTAGCCCACATAGACTTCTGTTGTGCTCACTGTGTGAGGAGTTTTGCAAACGTGACCTAAGTATTGAGAAATGTGTCCTAGCGTCTGTAAAAAACTGTAAACAAGTTTTTTTAAGCAAAACCATTAACGAATAACTAACCACATGTGCTTAATCAGCCAACGCCTCAGAGGACAGCAGGGAGAATTTGAATACTCTCCAACAACTGCTGCTTCAGAGAGATAGTTATGAAGAAAGACCCGTCCAAGAACTAGACCCCACCCTCCAGAAGAAATCGCCCAGTAGACTCTCCTAGTACAACATCGTCGGCTGGCAAACACAATCTATAAGTGACTGTCCAGCTTCGGTGTGAGGCTGTGGAGGAGCCCCGATGAAAACACCTCACCGAGGGACCTGGTCAGCTCTCTTACTGAGAATGTGACCAGGCTTATAGAAAATAAAACAGACTGCCATTGATCTCCAGGCCACGGATCACTTTGTGTGTTTGATATTCCCAACCTTACCCTGATCATGGACTGACTGGCATTTGCATTTCATGCACTTCTCACAGTGAAGCATCCCACGTCAGAGCTGGACACAGCTCTGATTCACTCTGCATGGTCTTCAAGTGTTGCTGTAAATTACAACATCAAGGTGAGCAGCACAGCCCTGTAGTCCTGCCACTATACCATTCATTTCTTAGGCCAAAGGCAAAGAAATGTGAGTACAGCACAGAGTGTGTGACCAACAGAACAACTCGAGCCCACTTTGTCCACGCAGTCGTCTGTATAAGGCAAAAAGAATCAACCAGGATTTATGAAGTTATTTTCCTAAAATCTGTGCATGACTGAAATGTCTGGTCAGTTTTTTTTTCAAATGTATTATTAGTGTTATTAACCTTTATTTAACCAGGAAGATCCCATAGAGATTAAAAACGTCTTTTTCAAGGGAGACCAAGATAGGCAGCAGCAAGTGTCTCACAGAGGCAAAACACACACAATTAAACAGAGGCAGCAAGAACACGCAAAAATACATCATAACTAAAAAATACAATAAAATATGATAAAGTTCATTAAAATTCAATTTAAAAATTCAGTAAAAATGACAATCAATCTAAATGAAATAGTTGCATGTCATGGACCTCAACGGTTCTTAGTTTAGATGTAAAAGTACTTAATGAGATGAATTCTGTCCTTTTATGGTGCCACCCGGCTGTAGCTCAGGCGACAGAGCAGGTTACTTTTGCCTTTTTCATACAACCTTCTTTTAAACTCAGACATAATCAATAAGGTTGGTGGTGACGACCCTCCCGGTCATCCTCCAAGACATCCAGATGACCAAACAATAAATGGTTTGGACTGAATCCTGTGCTGCTTGTGTGCGCTCTGTTGCCACCAGTATAGGCAGTCACAGCCTCGCTCAATGCAACGAGCTCATAGCAGGGATTTAAGGGCTCGTGGAAGTTTTACATTAGCATCCGGACTCTCTGGATGAGGAGTTAACTGGGCACATTTTGCATTAAGCTGTTTAAAATGTCAAAATCTCAAATGTGAGAAGTGAGATTTATTCCAGATTTGCTGTATAATCTATATATGCACTGAATTTGCTGCGTTTTGGTGAAAAATGCATCCTCTCTGAACACACTGTTGGAAAAAACTAAAATGGAGTTGATGTCAGAGAGCCGTTCTGCGAGAACAACCATCAAATGCTCCACCGTGTTGATTGGTCAGCTATATTTACACGCATCTGCGACATCGGAAAAATCAAACTCGAACATGAAACTGCAATGTTCCCACAGTCCTCAGTGTACACTGAAACAATATAAAGATAAAAATGCTGCCTAATCATTCATAGCTGAGCCTAAAAAGCTTTTATTGTGATAAATATTAACAGATTAATGCTCATCCTCACAGCACTTCCACCAATAAAGCAATTTTGGTTGATTTTCATACATTTAACTTCCCCGAGCTGTTGGTGATGGCACCCTGCTCTGGTGGGGGACACAGTCATGTCTTCCAAGCTCAGTTTCCTTGGGAAGACTGAGGATAAGACACATTCAGTCGAGTGCAGAGAGTCCATTTCTTGGCTGGATCGCTCTGTCGTAGCTACTCGGGTGGATTTGACTAAAACACTAGACGAGAGTTTATTTACAAGCACACAAAGACTAAGTGTTTAAGACGAGGGTCTACATTAGTGAAGTCCAGACAAACACACCTCCGTGCTCACAGGTGTACACAACCAGCAGCTGCTTACACGTGTGGAGGGATGAGTCTCAGGAGCTCAGTGAACTCCAGCGTGGTGTCTGTGTGCGATATGGGTGGAGGTCTCAGCTCCGTCAGTGTTAAAGCTGGAGTTACAGCACTGAGCTAACCGCACCCCTGGCTGTGTGTCAGGGGGAGGGCTGGCTATTGTTTCTACTTCCTGTTTGTGTATGAGGCTCCGCCCCCTCCTGGGGTTTTTGGTTCAATCTAAAGAGGCTCAGTGGGAACTTCCTGTAGCTGCAGTGTGAGATTGTTTTTGGGGGGATGTTACATCTATTTCAATAATAAATCTGTTGGAGGAATAAACCTTCCTTGTTTAAGCGTGGGCCGTGGCGTGTTCTCCTGTTGCTGGTGACGTCGTGATGTTTTCACTAATTAAAAAAACACACTATATATGTGTATGTACAACACAGTCATGTAGTAGGTTGGCAGTATGCTTGTGCTGTGAGGTCTAACTCTATGTGTAGTGTATTTATTATGTACATTTTAGACAGAGTGTCCTTAAACACAGTGTACACTGAAAGCGCGGGCCCCGCCCTGCATGGAGGCCTCGGGGACGAGCTTCACATGAACGAGCTTCACATGAACGAGCTTCACATGAACGAGCTCGATGACAGAATACGTGAGCGCTTTTAACAGCAGAGGACGGTTTGACTCACCGCTACTCAGTCTGTATGAAGCCACACCCATCTCTGTGTGTGTTTCTTACCGATTAAGAGGAGCACGATCTTCATCGTCCTCTTCATCCTCTGTAACAGTCCCGTTGAGCCTCACTGACAGCTGACATCACCGACCGCTCTCAGAAACAGATCCGTTACTCTGCACACAAATAAAGACTTTCTCCTCCCTGGGCCCTTCACAATAAAAGCTCTTTGCAGTGTTGGAATCAAGATAAAGACAGACATATAAATGTGTATATTTATAAAGGGAAACATGGAAGCAAGACAGAAAGAACAAGGTGGAGGTAAGAACAGGGGACAGGTACTCCTGTCCAAGTAACCACACATGCAGCCCAGACATAAAGTGAACCGAGTCATTTATTTAACTACAGCGTCGGAGCCAAATCACCGAACCAGCCACTGGTTCCCACACTGACACTGAGTGTTGACTG